AAAAAAAAAAAAAAAAAAAAAAAAAAAAAAAAAAAAGGAAAAAGAAAACACTGAACTATCCTCAACCAATTTGCTTGAGTTTAATTTCGTAAAGTAACATCTACAAAGATTGAGCTTCAAGAAGAATAAATTCATAGTATGATGTGCTTACCCATGAAACCAGCAGGATATGTCTTATCCGTCCTAACCTTCCCGTCAACAAGAATATGGCGTTGCATCAAGATAGCTATAACTTCACGGTATGTGAGAGCATACTTCAGCCTGTTACGCATAATAAGAATCAAGGGCAAGCACTCCCTTGATTTGTGGGGTCCAGAAGAGGGTTTGGGTGCCTGCACATAAACAAACACGCAGGATGTCAAAATATAAACACAAATAAGCAAATAGGTTTACAAGAGAGTACAAACAGAAAAACTAAAAGATGCAAAACGGGAAATGGGACACAAGCGAAAATTTTTACTTACGAAAGCACCACCAAGTTTGTCCAGCATCCAATGTTTTGGGGCATTCAGCCTCTTCAAGTGTTTCTTCAAACCTCTAGCCTGTAATTCAGCATAATAATAGTATTGATTATAGAGCATTAGAAAGTCACCACCTAAAAAGGCATTAAAGCCCTTTTATTCTTTGAGAACGCATCATGTCACTAGTAATAAGGTGTAGATAAGAATTCCTAAATATATGTGTAAGGACATGAAGAGTTTCTTCTCTATTTTCGTTACAAACTTACCAAAATTATGTTTAAGCAGCCAAATTATATTTACATACAAACAGAACGCAACAGTAAGCAATTTTCAGTTTAAGATTCAATAAATGAAGACTATAACTACAGTGATACAGGAAGCATACGAAGAGATTGAAATATCTTGCATTATGCTTTACATTGATCTTTTCTAATTTCTTGTAAAATGTCGTACAAAATGGTCATGAATCATTATAGGAAGGCGTCCATTTGCAATTACAGACGGAGGAAGGATGAGATATTAATGTCAATTTAGAAAGACACCACATCATAGCATCAATGGTAAAATCACACACACACTCAAGATTTTTAAATTAGCTTAGCTACGGATAATTAACAGCATTTCCCAAATTTCATTCAAATATCAACATTGTAAAATTACTTAAAACTGTAAAGAAATAAATAGTATTTTTACATGGTAATCCACTCATGAAAATTATCCGATCACAAATACAAGTGCAAAAATTCGGTAATCAATACTGATAAAATGCCTCTAAAACTAACATTTTCAAAAAACATATCAAGCGCATTAAGAATTTACTCTGAATAACAAAACTTAACAATCAAATCAAATCCGTGATCCTAAAACTGGAATACTTAAACAGCAACAGAAAACACATACTTATACAGAATGATATATTTAAGGTTAAAAAGTGAGTGGAGCTGACCATTTTGGAGGCAGTTGGTCAGGATCGACTAGGTGGCACCTTCTACTCTCCCCGCCTCTCTCGGCCGCTTACCAGTTAAGGTGTCGAGAAAAGCTTAAAACCCTAGCTCTGTCGTCACATATGCGTAATGCGTCCTTCTAAGGGCAATTTAGGGTATTCGCCCTAAAATTTAGATTTGTTTTATTGAACCGGGTCGGCTTAATTTTGTGCAAGTCTGCAAGAAACTAACCGGATCGGATAACACTTGGATCCGATTTAGGGTAATATTCAACTATGGTCGCTGAACTTTAAGAGAAATTTTAAATAGGTCACTAGAATTAAATTCTACATTGAAATTCAATCTAGTTTCAAATTCTACCACTTTGTAGCATTCCATCATCAACTATCCTCTAAACTAAAA